CTTGCTTTTCCTTACCTGCCTCTGCTGACTGATCTGTTTAAATAAGCTTGTCAGCTCCCAACACATTGATAAATGGGGCCTTTAGACATGTCTATAGGTACAGTAGCATAAAGATCAGGAGGCCTGGTTGCCTTTGTCCCTTAGTTAGGGATTTGCAAGTTGAGATAATCCTCACAGTTCCCTTTCTGTTTCTTCAGGAAATCCAGAGGTGCTTGATTTGACTGTGCTAGTGTGGTAATGATACATTTTTAAGGATCAGATTTTATTATTTTCAGCTGAAAATGACTCAAGTATACTGTCTTCATGGCTTGTTGACCATTGATGTACAGCGAAAGCAAATACCCACAAGAATGTTGATTCTTAAATATGCCACAGTTTTTCCAAAACAAACACATATGGTACTTTCTGTGTTTGACATATCCATTACAGTGTATTTCTGACATAACAAAACAGTAATACTAGCTAGGAGAAAATAATATTTTGAGGGACATTTTTATATTTAATCATAGAAAATATGGCTAATTGTAATTGTTTTGTTTTTCTTTAAAGATAAATAATGTTTGTTTTAATTTCAGATAGAAAATGCTGCTGAAGAACCTAGAGTTTTATGTATAATACAGGATACTACTAATTCAAAGACAGTGAATGAACGGATCACTTTAAATTTACCAGCTTCTACTCCACTCAGGAAGCTCTTTGAAGATGTGGCCAACAAAGTAGGCTACATAAATGGAACCTTTGATTTAGTGTGGGGAAATGGAATCAATACTGCTGATATGGTAAAACCTTAGACTTAAAGCATGTTCTCTTAAGCTGCTAATAATACGATAGTCATTATTATTGTTGTTATTAACGAATATATTAAATCCTGGAACCTTTTTTAATATCATAAGCAAAACTATAATAAATAATTTAAGAGCCTATGTGCAACTCAATAATTGGATCCTTCTTCATCCCTTTGCCTTCATTCCAGATTCAGCATTTGCTTATCCTAAAGTTTGTATAAGGACATTTTATCAGTTTTTTTGCTCATGTAAGAGGACTAGCATATTGTGTCAACTATGGAAAATTTTCCAACATTTACTGCATGGAATGTTATTCATCATATATGTGATATATGTAAATGTATAATATATATATAATTTAAGATTTATTTATTTGGGAAAGAGAGTGGGAGAGCACGTGCATGAGTGGGGGGAAAGGCAGACAGAGAGGGAGAGAATCTCAAGCAGACTCAGTGCGGAGCCCTTCATGGGGCTTGATCTCTTGACCCTGAGATCATAACCTGAGCCGAAATCAAGAGTTACACGCTTAACCGACTGAGCTACTCAGGTGCCCCTGTTCATCTTATATTTTTAGGCAGAAAAAGCAGGATATGGAATCATGTGTATTTTATAATCTAATTTTTAGAAGAGAAAAATTTATATAGAAAGAAAAAGGAGGGCGCCTGGGTGGCTCAGTTGGTTAAGCGACTGCCTTCAGCTCAGGTCATGATCCTGGAGTCCCGGGATCGAGTCCCACATTGGGCTTCCTGCTTAGCAGGGAGTCTGCTTCTCCCTCTGACTCTCTTCCCTCTCGTGCTTTCTATCTCTCATTCTCTCTCTCTCTGAAATAAATAAAATCTTTAAAAAAAAAAAAGAAAGAAAAAGGAAAGGAAGGATATGCAGTCATGTAATAGAGATTATGTACCAGATACAGTGGTAGGCACCTGATCAAGAAGGTTGGTGGTATCATGACTTTTGTGTCAGAGATCTCACAGTCCTGTTGTAGAAACAATTGTACTGACAAATAATTACATTAATATGTTTGAAATACTATATTGTAAGTTTGTTCTGAGTGCAAAGAGAAGGCATTGATCACTTTTGCATGGGAGAGTGACAAAGGACACCATTGAGTTGGATCTCATCTGCACTATTAGAATAGTACTGGAAAGAGTATTTTTTTATTTCCTGTCTCTTTGTCCAAATTACCCTGCATATTACTGTTAGAATTGTTTCCAGTCATCTTAAATTGTAGCTCTTAGGTCACCTTCCAGTTCAAAAGCCTTCAATGAGTACTCACTACCCAGAAAATAGAAATCAGATTCCTTAGGTTAGCAAGCTTGTAGACAAACTACAGTGGGTCCTTTAAGACTTTTGTAATCTCAACTTGCAGGTACTGGACTAATTTATTTTCTTAACACAAATTTCCATGCTTTTCTATCTCCATGTTTTTGCTTATATTACCTTTTTCTGTCCTGTGTCATTGCTACTCAAGTTTTCCAGGAAGATACCTCTGATGGGAAATGAAATTGAATGTGTATTACCTCTGTGATATTTGGAGGGCAGAGTTTTAATTGGGTCTATAGAAGAATCATGGATGTTTGATGTTGCATGATTTGCCCTTAAAATCCATGATATTTTGCTTTCTAGTCCATAATATATTTACATTTTTAAAATGTGGAGCTAATGCTTTACATTAACCAACTTTTTCCCCCTCTGAAATTGATTAGTAAAATTGGCAGTCCAACAAAATATGCAAAGGGAAGTAATATTTAATCTCAAACTTTGAATAATCCCTGTTACATCACCATGTAACTTCTAATGTTGCCTTTTTTTTTTTTTTTAAAGATTTTATTTATTTATTTGGCAGAGAGAGACACAGCGAGAGAGGGAACACAAGCTGGGAGAATGGGAGAGGGAGAAGCAGGCTTCCCGGCAAGCAAGGAGCCCGATGCAGGGCTCTATCCCAGGACCCCGGGATCATGACCTGAGCTGAAGGCAGACGCTTAACGACTGAGCCACCCACGCGCCCCTGCCTCTTTTTTTTTGGATAGTTCTATACTGTCATGTATGTCTCCCCAAGTCTTACTTATTTTTTACTTTTAAGAAACCTTATATGATGTTTCTTCATGCCACTTTAAAAGTAATCTCTTTGTCCCCCAGTGGCACTGTTTCTTCTGCTATGCCACTTATCATAGCATTCTTTTATTATAGTTGTTATTCATTTGTGTTTTTTCTATGTGGTAGAATGCGTGTATTTTGGTGGCTGGGACCTCATAGTATTAATTTTGCATCATCCATAGATAGTCTTCCTAGGCACTTCAAAGATGTGTGTTAAATTAACATTTATGGTAGCTTTAAATAGATCTATGTCATGGTGTGCCTGGGTAGCTCAGTTGGTTAATTTCTGCCCTCGGCTCAGGTCATGATTCCAGAGTCCTGGGATCGAGCCCTGCATTGGTCTCCCTGCTCAGCGGGGAGTCTGCTTCTCCCTCTCCCTCTGCCTCTCTCCCCGCTCATGCTCAAATAAATAAATAAAATCTTTAAAAAGAATAGCCCTATATCAGGATTACCTATTTCTCTTTCTTTAGCTATGACTGTTTTCAAGTACTTGACTTCTGTATGTTTATTTGCTTATTGTACATTTCTGTAAGTATACTCTTTGATCTGCTTACTACACAGTGCTGCATGAATGCTTTGTGAAAACCTAACCCATTTAGCTACCCACCACCTCATACACGTACATACATACATTTGTTGAGGTAAAACACCTATGTATTCCTGCTATATTATCTGATTTCTTATCAGAATGTAAAGGACCCAAACATACCTTTCCTCCCATGTGACTTCTCTTCACTTCTGATTTTCTTTTTTCTCTTTTAATTTAAATTCAATTAATTAAAATATAGTATATTATTAGATTTCAGTGATTCATCAGTCCTATATAATACCCAGTGCTCCTTATATCACGTGCCCTCCTTAATGTCCATCATCCAGTTGCCCCCTCCCCCACCTCCTGATTTTCTATGTCCCATTTTTCTCATGGATTTCTAGATGTGAGCCACTTAAGAGAGATCATATGTTTGTTATTTTATTTACTTAACATTTATTTTAAACTTACTATGTGCTTAGTATTGTTCTGGTATGAGGTTCTGTACAGGTATAACCTCATTTAGTCATTAATAACCACTGTATGAGGTAGGTTCTAGAATAGGCTCATGTTATAGGTGAAGAAACTGAGTCATGGGGAAATGGAGTTAACTTGCCCAAAGTCACACAAATAGCAAGTGGCAACATTTTTTACAGTTAGGGTTTTTGTTTTTGTTTTTTGTCGTTAGTACTTACACTTTTTTTCTTAATATATGTTAAGTTCCTAAGAAAGGGATTTCCATAAAATAAGTCCCCTAAGGAGGCATTCCTCATATCTTGGAAGCATTAAAATCATTCTTTAGTATAACAAAATAGTTTTAAAGCAAAAGAATGGGGTGTTCATTTCATCTGTCATTTTTCTCAACAGTGGACTAGCGTGTGGGTGAGTCCCTACAGTAGACTTGGAGCACACAGGGCTCCATCTCTCATCCACCAACCAGAGTGGATCAGAATGAAATTGCCTTACCAAATCAAAGAGTTAGGTAAAGACTACGTATCTTAGATGTTTAATTTTCAAAAGAGTGATGACTTCTGTCTTCCTGGGATCCTCTGGATCCTGGCAGTGGACTTTAAATAGGTTATCATTTACCTAGGACAGGCTGTTCCTTAAGGAGTCTTTCTGAAAGTGACCATTTTGGTATATTACATAATTTGGTTGGACTGCTTAGTGTGTAGCTTATCAGAGAATTCTCATTCATATATCAAAACATGTTTTTACAGTTACTTTGTGAAATGATCATTAGCAAATACATTTTAGAGAACATAGAAACATAGATGTTTATAATTTTTTTTTTGCGTAATACTTAACATTACTTCTTTACCTTTTTTCTCTCCAGTTTTTTTTTTTAGATGTTGGGAAATGTGCCCATCTGGGATAATTGTCAGTATATGCACTGTCACTGGGCTTAGCCATCCTAATACATGAGTAAATGAGTTAATTCCAAGTCTAGATTAACAGAATTTACCAGAATCTTTATTTAAAAAAATAGTGTTTGAGCCTGAGAATTGTAGATTCATTTATGTATTACTTGTTTTATTATTATAATTAATGTTTCTCATAATCTGAGATATTTTATTTTATGCCCGTAGGCTCCACTGGACCATACCAGTGACAGGTCACTTCTTGATGCTAATTTTGAGCCAGGAAAGAAGAACTTTCTGCATTTGACAGATAAAGATGGTGAACAGCCTCAAATACTGCTGGTAAACTATTTAGAAGCCTCGTATTCATAATTTTTGTGTACTGTCACTGTTGGGAAGCAGTATTAGTATTCCAAAAGAAGGAGGAGAGATATAATTTGTGATTTATGTATAATAAATTATTTTTCTATTTTATGTTGGCTTTTTATAAGTGTATATGTTAACATGGTAACTGGGCATCCATAGCACTGTTGCTTGTGTATATAGTCTGTTGCTGCACTGGAAATGGGGGTTGCCATCTTCAAAACTACCACCATGACAGGGATGGGGTAGATCTGGGATAAGTTAAGACACCACAGAGATCTCCTACTGCGTTTCAGTGGCCTTCCTTTGGTTAAGCATTTGCTTGGTTGTTGTTAAGTCCTTGGCAGTTATGCCTACATTTTTCTGTATTTTAGGGTAGGGACAGACCCCCAGAATTCTCTATTCTGACATTTTTGCTCCCACCCCCCTCTTTCTGGAATAACTAGTTTTTCAAGTTACGTGCTTTATTTCTATTCTTTTAGTATTTGCCTAAGTTCATATTTCAGTAGGCTTTCCTGTCTGGTCCAGTGGCCCTAGAGATCGTCTAATCCAGTAACTCCCAATTTGAGGGTCCTTCCTAAAAAAGATTGAGAAAACCTGGTCTGCTTTACCTTGTTGTTTTACAGGCTGAGGAAACTAAGGCTCACAGAGTTTTGTTTTGTTTTTTTTTTTAAGATTTTATTTATTTATTTGACAGAGAGAGAGAGTAGGGGGAGTGGGAGAGGGAGAAGCAGGCTTCTGCCAAGCATGGAGCCCGATGCGGGGCTCGATCCCAGGACCCTGGGATCATGACCTGAGCCGAAGGCAGCCGCTTAACAGACTGAGCCACCCAGGTGCCCCAAGGCTCACAGAGTTTATGGACTTTTTCAGAATCCTTCTTTCAATGAAACTTCACTCACAGAAATTCCGCTATTTGATGCTTTTCATGTAGAAGTCTATTGTGAATTAGAATAGCTGTCTGGACAGTAGACAATAATTAAACACAGAACATCCATACTGAAGCAGTACTAGAAGATGCTCCATCTCATCATTTTTTTTATGACATCATGAGAAGATCGTGATTAATCTGAATGACATTGAAATATAAATTAGTTATTAATTTAGGGAACTCTAGATCTATGGTTTGGGAATTCATGTTTTAAAATGCATAGTAATTACTCTTCAGCTCGGTCTTAATTGCTTAAGCTAATTTTATATCCCTGAATCCTTTTTGACATCTTTGTCATTAGTAGGAAGTTTCTTATTAGAGACAGTAGGAAACAATCCATTTTATCCAATACTTCAGTGTGTCCTACCTGCCAGGTGTACTTGGCAAGGATGGTGTAAAAATGAATGACAGACCCTGTCATCGAAAGTTCACAATGGAACTTTCTCCTTCTCTTATATAAACAAAATTTGAAAGGGAATTAAGGGAAATTGCAAAAGAAGTTTGAAAGGAGACATGAGCACCTCTCCCAAGTGTTTTACACTGGGCATCTTTTGAGCCTTCCTATAGGAAATGGTGAGGGTGTACATTCCTTTAAATGTCTTGGTGGTAATAGTAATGCCTTGTTTTTTTCATTGCCTCAGCAATTAGTATGTGTTTTGGTTTTTTATTTTTTTCATTGTTTCAGCAACATATGCCATTCAGTAAATATTGGTTATGCTGCATTTTAGGAGGATTCCAGTGCCGGGGATGATAGTGTCCATGACCGATTTATAGGTCCACTTCCAAGAGAAGGTTCTGTGGGCTCTACCAGTGATTATGTCAGCCAAAACTATTCCTATTCATCTATTTTGAATAAATCAGAAACAGGTAAGTTTTATTATTATTACTGTGGTCGTTGTATTTTCATAAAATCACAGGGCATTAGACCCTGAGTAATCTGAGAGATCTCAAGCCTAATCACCTCATTTTATGGATTAGAAAACTGAGACCCAGAGCAAGATCACTAGTTAACAAAAATAGAACAGTAATGTGGTTTTTCTTTCCCTCAAGTCGTTGTTTTCGCTATATTGTTACTGCCACTATTTAGTAATAACGTAAAAAATACTGAATATTGTATTTTGAAGGAAGACTTTTCTCTTTGATAAATTTCTATTTTGAATTTATTCTTAAATTTCTGAAGTTGACTTTGTTTGGAAAGGAATGTTTCCATTATATCTTTTTGGATTAGGATAGACTGTGGGGGATACTTCCATTTTGAAACAGACACCTGCTGTGTCATCTTTTAGTTTAATCTGATCATATGTTTGAAACTAATCATGTAATTTTAATATTCCTGTTAACTTTTTTCTGAACATTATTAAACCTAGATGTTTGAATTTTTTCAATTAATTGAGCAGTGAAATTGCTTTATTTATGTAAAGGTTTATTCCTTTACACGTTTAAGATTGGTTAATTGCCTAAATATAATCTGGATACTTGTATATAACATTTGATCTCACAGCAAACCTTTGCAGTCGATAGTGTATTATTCATGTTAAAAGAAGTGGAACCTGGGTTCTGAGAAGACTTCATTTGGCACAGCTGGTACTGCTAGGTGCGACTACAGAACCTCTACTTTTAGAACTTCAAAATAGAGATGGTTTTAAATATTATGTGCAGGTATTTAGTATAAAAAGAAAACTATAGCATCATATTGCAAGTTTTGTCCTAATGTGATCTGTAATATTCTATCTACTATATTTTGTAATTAAAATGTAGATAATTTCCTCATAGTTGAACATTTGTACAGGCTTACCGGTGTATTTGTTTTGGAAATACCAGTAAAAGCTGGTCATGTTTGGTATTTAGGATCATTTATATTAATAGAACTTTTATCAGTCAAGTACCAGGAATAAAAGAGAATGCAAGATTATCTTCTATTTCAGATAATAGGAGATAATAAAGTTGTTCATCATTACACTGTCTACAGTAGTGATTCTCAAATTTTTATTTCTTTAAAAGTCATTTGGCGGGGGCACCTGGGTGGCTCAGTCATTAAGCACCTGCCTTCAGCTCAGGTCATGATCCCAGGGTCCTGGGATTGAGCCCTGCATCAGCCTCCCTGCTCAGTGGGGAACTCTGCTTTTCCCTCTCACTCTCCCCATGCTTGTGTTCCGTTTCTCGCTGTGTCTCTGCCAAATAAATAAATAAAATCTTTAAAAAAAAAAAAAGTCATTTGGGGATACTTGTTAAAAATATGGGTTCTGAGGCATTACTTCCCAAAATACTGGTTGGATAAATTGCATTTTGTTTTAAATAAGCACCCTAGATTATTCTGAGATATTTGGAATACTTTGAGAAAGTTCCAGATTGAACAAATCAGGATTCTTGAACTATTTGCTTTGTATTCTGACAACCAATTCAGTCCTTTATGTAGGAGTATTTATAAAACTCCTATTTTGTACTACGTACTCTGTGGCACTATGATGCCTATAAATTCCTAGAGACTGACTCATACTTTAAAAAAAGTATTTAATACATGCTCATTGTCATACTTTAAAATGAAGAAAGTGAAAATCACAGTACTACTAGCAGAAACTACTTAATGGTGATTTTGCTTATTTCTGTTTTATCTTTCCTCTGTATGTGTGCTTTTAAGAAAATGGGGGTATCACATGTTTTAAGTATTTTTTACTATGTGTTTTTTCCTTAATACTATATGATAAGCATTTTTCAATGCTATTAAATAGTATTTTAATATAAGGTTTTGAATGAGTGAAAAACTTTCATTGTATAGTTTAGATATTTAAGCAAATAATTACTGATATGAACATTCTTGTATATAAGGTTCTATTTTTATCTTTAATTATTTCCTTAGGATAAGTTCTCAAATTGAATTACTAAGTTGAAATTTATTTAAAACAATTTTTAGAGGCCTTTGTTCTAAATTGCCATGTAATCGCAGCCTTCATTCCCAATTACTGTTTCTCATACACCTCTACTCCACTCCTTTTTCCTACCTGTGCATTTTCCTCCGGTTTTCTAGGGGTACTGCCTTTCTGAATTTAAAATAGTCTATAAGCATCCAAAGGAGTTGTAGTTTAAGCATAATTTTGTTAGTGACTGTTGAATTTGCATTTTCCTTAAATTATTGTAAATTTTGGCACCATATACAGAATGTTTTTATTGGAAGATGCTATAATGATTTAGACTCAGGGCTCTAGGAACACATTTCTCCATAATGCAGGAGGTTTGGGGATTTCTTTCCTGTCTGCCTTGCGTACCAACCCTCCCCCCCCCCCCTCCGGGGTAGCCAGCCACTGTTCATAGGAGGTGGTGGGGGCGGGTAGGGGTGGGGTATTGTGTATGTGAACATTAAGGGATAAGGAGCAGATTGAAGGCTAATGTGGACTTGTAGGTGAATAGAAACTATGTAATTAGGGTGTTTCCATTATCTGAATCCATGATAACTGTCCTTGGCCAGTTTCTTTAACAATTCTTTTATTTGGGGCACCTGAGTGCCTCAGTCATTAAGCGTCTGCCTTTGGCTCAGGTCATGACTGGGATCGAGCCCCACATCAGTCTCTCTGCTTGGTGGGAAGCCTGCTTCTCCCTCTCCCTCTCCCACTCCCCTGTTCCCTCTCTCTCTGTCAAATAAATAAAATCTTTAAAGAAAAAAAAGGTTTTATTTATTTATTTATCGTGAGCCGAAGTGAGCCGAAGGCAGACACTTAAACGACTGAGCCACTCAGGTACCCCTAGTAAATAAAGTCTTTAAAAAAAAAAATCTTTTATTTTACCAGCCCCGGGAGTTGGCCTGTTGCATTCTGCATTCTTCATTTGGCCTATTTGATGCTTACTTCATTACCTGGTGGTTCCGTTCAGGATTTCTTTCCACATGTGCCCCTCACAGAATGACATGTTTTCACCTTCTTCTCCCTTAGGGGCTCACACAGTATTGGTTCACAGCTATTTCAGTTATAGGACCCATTTGATAACAGTTGTCATTTGAAGTTTTTTTGATTTAGACAATGCTTAATGACAAAATATTTCTATTTTTCAGTAGCACTTTTATTAGTGTCACTGAAATCTTCATAGTTTTGGCAAATAGTATCTTTATGTAAGACACTGTTCATTCTGTGCAGAATGGTGCCAAATCAAGTACACATGACCATAGTGTTTTCTATGTGATAGAGAGCTAAGTCAGATTTGACCCCTCCCCTCACAGCTGATGGGGAAGACATATAATAGGTCATTACAGAACAGTGAGCTGAAGGCTCCAATATGGATTAAAGACAGGGTGCTATGAGAATAGCTCAGGTGGGGGATGGTTAGGAATTGACATAGTTTATAATTCTAGAACAGTGTACAGCAGAATATATACAGTATTTTTTTATTTGAGAGAGGGAGAGAGAATCTTTTTTTTTTTTTTAAGATTTTATTTATTTGACAGAGACACAGAGAGGGAACACAAGCAGGGGGAGTGGGAGAGGGAGAAGCAGGCTCCCTGCTGAGCAGGGAGCCCCAATGCGGGGCTCAATCCCAGGACCCTGAGATCATGACCTGAGCCGAAGGCAGACACTTAATGACTGAGCCACCCAGGTGCCCCAGGGAGAGAGAATCTTAAGCAGGCTCCACGCCCAGCACGGAGCCCAACGCAGGGCTCCATCTCACAACCCTGAGATCATGACCTGCGCCAAAAGCAAAAGTCGGACACTTCACTGACTGAGCTACCCAGGCTCCCCTATAAACACAGTATTCTTAAATATGAAAAGCATTAGAAATTAAAACTTGAACCTTAGTCCAGAGTGAAAAGTGGGTAGCTACTTGATCTCTTCTTAGAACCATATAGATAACGTGGAATCTATTCCTCTTTTCCACAACTGACCAAGGCTTATCATGCATATTTGTTTGTCCTTTCATCACTTTTGGCAATATTATTATCTGCAGAGCCTACCATTTCTCAAGACATTTTGATAATTGGGGAATTGAAAAAGTATTTTGACAAGCTTCAGTGAACACCTTCAGTGTCTGCTGAGAAAAGATTTAAGTGTGTGTTTTTTTTTTTTTTTGGAAACACCCAAGTCATTCAGTATTAAGTGGTAGTAAATAAGTTTAATTATTAAGCAAAGTGTTTACCACATTTTGCTCATGTAATGAGGTATAACTAATATGATGAGACTGGTTTTTTTTGGTGTATGTGTATCTCATAAACGGGGCCTGAAGCCTACTTCAAAAGAGAAATTCCAAAAATGTTCTCAACAATGGTAGCCATATTCCAATCAGATATATAAAGCTAAGTAATTTTAATCATTCACTTGAATTTTAAGTTCCTATAAGCTTTTCCTTTTTTCCTTCCTCCCTTCCCCACTCCCTCTCTCTATTCTTTCCTATTTCTGACTTCTCTTCTTACTTTATAGTCTTTGCATAGTGTGCTAATGTATATAGAATCTCATACTTAATGGGCTTGTTAAAATAGAGGAAGTCATTCTGAGTTTTATATAATGAATTTATCGCATACATTATTCTTGGCACAAATTGGTTTATAGAGCCTGATAGCATGGATAGCTGGTTCGGTTCAGTCTTCCTATTTTGGGTCTGTGATAAGTAAATATGTTTATACTTTTCCATTTTAATCAACAACTTATCAATTTGGGCAACAAAGATTATTTTTATATCAAGTAAACATACTATATTGAAATATTCTTCTTTAAATTTTATTAAATGCTACATAACATCCATGCATATCTCTGGACACTTAACAAGATATCCTCCCTTTTTCTGAGAAACAAGGTTTACATAGTGCACATTTTAGAAAAAGGGGTCTTTCTTATTGCTGTTGAAAAAACTAAAATAATTTCCAGGTAACCTTAACCTCTCAATTTTTACTGTGCATTAAATTCTAAGTTTTCTTTTTGTTATTTTTAATGTAGATGCTGATTTATGTATATTTGTGTTTTCTTTTTAAAGGATATGTGGGATTAGTAAACCAAGCAATGACTTGCTATTTGAATAGCCTTTTGCAGACACTTTTTATGACTCCTGAATTTAGGAATGCATTATATAAGTGAGTATTCAAAAAAAAATTTATAAATAAAACTCATTTAAGAATGAAAGTATAGGTTTTAACTAATAAAATCTAATTTACCTTCTTGTATTTATTTACAAAGTTTGGGGTATTTCTCACTTCATAAGACGTCTTGAATAATATATAAGAAAAAGATCTTATGAGAGATTGACATATGAAAAATTTGTGGAGAGAGAGAATCAGAAGTGTGTAGACCAGCAAAGGATAAAATTAAAAAGATTTACATTTGGGATATTACTGTATTAAAGCTTTTCCTCACTTACAGCTTTAACATCTTTATAAAGAAATATGTTATCTGCTTTTTGAGATAATCTGAATATGTAAACCATATTCTTTCCTTTTACTTCTCAATTTAAGAAACAAAGTCATCTTTTAAACTTTGTTTCTAATTAAAATATACTGCAGCTGTCCTTTGTGTGTGTGTGTGTGTGTGTCTAAGTGTGGAAAAGATGGTATATATACCAGGTACTTTAAAATGCTCTGGAGGAAATCCATATTTAAATAAACCCTAAAAGTCCCAGAAAGTTATTTTTATGAGTATCTTATTGTAATTTCTTTAAGGTATGCATAACTTTTTTTAAGACATTTTAAAGTACAGATTAACTGATTTTTCCTTTTTTGCGTTACTTTTGAATAACATCTTTGAAATTACCGTAAATATCTATTTAAAGTATTTTTGGAGCTTTTAATATTGGTTGTGTTGCTCAAACAACATTATCATTCCATTCATATGGAAGCTCATCATCTGAATTTACTTGTGAACGTAGACATTGTAATGAATCCCTTTGTACCCGTCACCCAGCTTTGAATATTATCAACTCATGATCAGTCTTTTTTATCTAATACCCTCTATTCTGATTATTTGGAAGCACACTCCCATTATGTCATCTGTAAATATATCACAGGTCAGTGCTAATAAGGTTTCCTTGATTGCTCATAATTTTTTTACACAATCTGTTCAAATCAGGATCCAAACAAGAGCCATACAGTGCAACTGACTGATAAGATTCTTAATCTTTTTAATCTATTTTTAATTCCCTTCCATCTTTTTTTCCCCTTGCAGTTTATTCCTTGAAACTATATATATTGAAAACTGACGCCCTTTTTCCTGTAGTTTTCCACAGTTTGGATTTTGATAGTTGAATGCCATAGTGTCATTTAATATTGTTCTGTTCCCTGTATTTTTATGAATTAATAATTAGGACAAGAGTCTTGATCAGATTCAAATTCTATGATTACTTTTAGATGAGCTTTGCCTTTCATTAGTGTTGCCTTCTTATGTCTTTTCTTGTTAAAGTCTAAATTTCTTCTGAATTTATGAATTAGGGAAAGGCTCCTATTTCATTAGATAATAATAGCTTCAGTTAATATCCAAATTCTGTATACCCCAAGAGTTACAGCCTTATATTATTATGATGTTAATATTAATGATGCTTTAAAGAATAAAAATATTTTGTAAATAATTTTCAAATATTTTATTTCAATAGGTGGGAATTTGAAGAATCTGAAGAAGATCCAGTGACAAGTATCCCATACCAACTTCAAAGGCTTTTTGTTTTGTTACAAACCAGCAAAAAGAGAGCAATTGAAACCACAGATGTTACAAGGAGCTTTGGATGGGATAGTAGTGAGGGTACTATTTCTCTTGTAATAAGTGTTTCTAATATTCAAAGGAATTCTGGGAGACAATATTATAAACAAAATATATTAATAGCTTAATTGACTATGATAAACCTTCTCATTGCCTTTTGCTGGGATTTAAAAATAACTTATTTTTGGGGCGCCTGGGTGGCTCAGTCGTTAAGCGTCTGCCTTCGGCTCAGGTCATGATCCCAGGGACTTGGGATCAAGCCCCACATCAGGCTCCCTGCCTGGCAGGAAGCCTGCTTCTCCCTCTCCCACTCCCCCTGCTTGTGTTCCCTCTCTCACTGTGTCTCTCTCTGTCAAATAAATAAATAAAATCTTTAAACCCAAAACAAAACTTATTTTTAAAATTTAAGCACTAGGGGTAAATTTTTGATCAATTAAAATTTTTTTGTAAAGTAAGTTTGGTTAAAGTCTGTTTTTATGTACTTAAACTAAAACTTTTAGTTCTAGATTTTTCTTAACATATTTCTTAACTCTACAGTGAAACAACAAAAATAGCAAATATAGCACTGTAAAGCATATGTTACTTAAAGATCGCTTGATTGTTTTCCTTGTGATTACCTTTTCATGACTGTAATGTATAGTTTGTGTTCTTTTTTAAATTTAGAATTATTTTGTGTAGACTTTTCCATACTTTTATTTTTTTTAAAGATTTTATTTATTCATCTGAGACACAGAGATACAGAGAGAGAGAGAGAGCGTGAGCAGGGAGAGAGGCAGAGGGAGAGGGAGAAGCAGGCTCCTCGCTGAGCCAGGAGCCCGATGGGGGCTCGATCCCAGGACCCTGGGATCATGACCTGAGCTGAAGGCAGACGCTTAACCATCTGAGCCACCCAGGCGCCCCGACTTTTCCATACTTTTAACAGTTTGCTTTTAAACAACAAATTAATGTTTCATTATACTAAATTTGATGCTGTTTTTAATTAAATTTTATTTTAAAATAGCTTGGCAGCAGCATGATGTACAAGAACTGTGCAGAGTCATGTTTGATGCGTTGGAACAGAAATGGAAACAAACAGAACAGGTAATTCATCTCAGATTGAAGGGAATGTTTTATAATAAATCATTCATAAGTGACTTTTATTCTATTGGAATGTTTTAAAACTCTGGCATTAGTTCAGTTGTTGAAGTGTTGAATGGGGAATTGAAAGTACTAGGTTCTCATTTGGCCATTAACTGAGTCATACAGATCCTCATTAAACCATGCTAGACCTCAGTTTCCTCATCTTTAAAATAAGGAAGTTGGTTTCTATGATCTAGATGGTCTCTTTTTAACTGAAAACTATAATTCATATATAAATATATACCTACATGTGTATGTGTGGTTTTGGGGGGATAATTTTTGAACAGTATTTTCAGATATTTACTAAGTAAATTACATGTATTATAATCTATAGCAGATTGGGCACCTGGGTGGCTCAGTTGGTTAAGCGACTGCCTTCGGCTCAGGTCATGATCCTGGAGTCCCGGGATCGGGTCCCGCATCAGGCTCCCTGCTCAGCAGGGAGTCTGCTTCTCCCTCTGACCCTCCCCCCTCTCATGCTCTCTCTCTATCTCTCATTCTCTCTCTCAAATAAATAAATAAAATCTTTAAAAAAATTATAATCTATAGCAGATTAAGTATAGTTGAGTATTACCTTCATTTTGACCAAGGAGGTATGCTTTTGACACTTAGGATTCCTCTTAATCTGACTCTGTTCTTCTTCCAGTAGAAAAAGAACAGGTTAGAGGTGGGAAGAGCATTTGGTGTATTATTGTGGGATGGTAAGGCTGAACTGGGTGGGGCTCAGAACTCAGGAAAGAGAACTCTAATGATGGGGGCGGGAAGGGGGGTGGTTGGGGAGGGATCACAGGGATGAAAAAGGAGGAAGATTCTGGAAGGTAGCCTGGAGAGTCTGCTGTCTGATTGGAATTATGATGATGGCTTGGGCCAGAGTTTTCAGACTGTAGGTTGTGATCCATTCGTGTGTTATAAAATGAGTTTAGTGAATCTACATCCACACTTAAAAAAATGGACTAGTATGGAAAAGTATAAGAGAGTAGCACAAAAGTAAGGGTATTATTTTGTGCAAATTTTGTTAGAGTTAGATGTACTGGGTTGAGATACACATTATTTTCTTACTGTGGGTTATTATCAAAACTGTTTGAAAAACACTGGTTTGAACCACTTAGAAATGCCCTCTCAGATGCAGAAGATATAATCAATTATGACTGAGGCAGATGAATGAAGAAGGCTTCACTAAATAAATGGCGTTAATATAGACAATGATGACGGGTCCTAGTTTGAAGGCTTATAAGCCCTAGACATTTGAAGAGATACAAATTTATGAAAGAGGTAAATTGTAATACACTTTCCTTCTTTTCCATTCTTCCTTAAGAGATATTGAAAAAAAAATTAAGTTTACTTAGTGACCTAGTTTCTCTACCTAGTCCTATTGTATTTTAGTAACTTCATTTATATGGTATTAGGGGCTGTTTCTTCTTCATAGGTTTGAAGTTACTCTTCCCCTTTTTATATCCCTCTTTGGGTCAATGCTTCCACTAAAAGATCAACTGAGGCATTCCTGCTGCATACCCAAATTTTGATACAAGAATTTTGAGGCAAGACATTCACTTGGAGGGTCCTTACTAAAGGAATTACCTGCCTTTTTTGGGACAGAAGCCCCAGTTGGCTAAGTTTGGGGACTTAGTGAGAGATCCATTCTTTTAAATGAGGGTATTTTGATGGAGATGGAATTTTTAAAAAATTTCTATACATTTTTAAAGGAAATTTGCTGTATGTTTTCCCTTAAAATTGCTTTATGTATATTACTGAAAGTTAAAAAGTTTTATTTGCACCTTGAGCTAGAAGATAGGATTTTAGGAATCAGAATATAATATTGTGAGAGTGGTGGTATACATGTGTAAAGCTATAAAACTAGCTGGCTATTTAGTTATGTAATTATCAACATGCCTAAAGTGATAGATTAGGTGTCTTCTTAACCTAATGAAAAGATAATATGAAGCTTAATAGTATAATAAATTGGTAACTGATTTCAACAAAACATCTTAGTAGTAGAGTTTTTAGTGATAAGAGAATGGAACTAGTTAATTTTTGCACATTGGTTCTTAAATTAGTGTTAATCTAATTTTATTGATTTTTAGTTAATTTTTGTCAAGCCTTCATTTTTTTAATAGAATTTTAGATAAATCTTAAAGCTTTCTAAAACTTCAGCAGTAAAGAATGAATATCCTTTGAAACTTATTTTTAAAAGCAGGAATTTTTGTGTATTTTAAAAATAAATTTTAAGGAATACTTTTTAATGTTCTTATTTTCAGGCTGATCTTATAAACGAACTATATCAAGGCAAGCTGAAGGACTACGTGAGGTGTCTGGAATGTGGTTATGAGGGCTGGAGAATCGACACGTATCTTGATATTCCATTGGTCATCCGGCCTTATGGGTCCAGTCAAGCATTTGCTAGTGTGGTGTGTACCTTTCAGCTGACTGCTTGTGTATCCATACACAGAATACATAATAGCACAGTGGTATAATCTGTTGTAAGGTAAGTATCATCCTAGATACACCTTCTTGGGTTGTTAGTAATTCCTGCTCTTAAACTAGCAAGATCTAGAAGATTTTTGACCCTTCAGTGAGTCCTAATAGTGCATGTATAAAAGGGAAAGTGAATTCAAATGTACTGCCTCATGGTTCAGTATTTTATTCTTTCTGATAGATGACTAGATTATTTAAAATTAAAAATAAAATTATCACTTTATCCTTTTTTTTACCTCTAAACAGTCTGTTTTATAAATGCTTTTTTTTGTGACCATTTTTTGTATCAGAAAGTACTTTTTGTTTTGTGTACATTGTTCCATATATATATTATATATATATATATAATCTTTTTAAGATTTTATTTATTAGAGAGAGAGAGAGCACATGAGTAGGGGGGTGGAGGGGGAAGGAGGGAGAGGGAGCAGACTCCCCGCTGAGCAAGGAGCCCAATGAGGGGCTTGATTCCAGAGCCCTGAGATCATGCTCTGAGCCAAAGGCAGACGCTTAACCGACTAAGCCACCCAGATGCCCCTCTTCCATATATTTTTAAAATTGGAAACATAACCTCTGGTTTTTACGATAAACAGAGGCCACATTTTTTAAAGGAACATCCTTATTCTAAAATTTAATTTAAAAACCATCGTAGAAGCACAGTAATTTGAAGAATCTGATATAATATAAATGAGTTAATTGATTAATTAAAAGTTAGTTTAATTATTTATGTACTGAGAATCCAACTGGGAGATTATCTAAGGTTTTCTCATTTTTCATCTATTTCTAAGGTCTTACCCATTTTTCAATTGCTTTTTGATAATTTTATTATTGCCTTTTATTGTGTTTACTGATACAAAAGGAGAGCCATGGAAAGAGTTAAGTTGATTTTTAAAATTAGAGTGTTCAGAAAGATTTATTCTGAATCTGTTAAGAGCCAGGGGAAACTTTAAGAGCTATATTGTTTTGGGCCTTATTGCTACCAAGCTGATGGTGGCTTGTAGCTAAAATCAGTGTTTTTATTTATTTATTTATTTTTAAGATTTTATTTATTCATTTGACAGAGAGACAGTGAGAGCAGGAACACAAGCAGGGGGAGTGGGAGAGAGAGAAGCAGGCCTCCCGCGGAGCAGGGAGCCCAATGCGGGGCTCGATC